CCCCGGGATATGGCCATAAACCGTTTCAGACTAAAATTGACCCTTCCCCCCCCCCCCCAATTTAGGAATAATACAGTACAACTTCCTTCCAAATCTTCATTCTTCTGAATTAGTTTTCCTTGGTTTATCTTTCCTAGTGATAATTTTCTTCTGAATCATTTTGTTGAAAAGATCTTCTGTAAATATGAAACCATTTAACAGCACACTGTGTTCACATATACAGTAGCGATTGCCAGTTTTTAGAATATTTTCTTACCAAATCCCCTGTAGTGAACTGAGAATGGAGGAGTACGGCTCATTACATACCCTTTTCTCAAACCCAAATATCAACCCATTAAAGAAAGAAATGGTCTTTGGCAGTGCTTCTATTAGCCCATTTCCTGTGAACTTTAGTGAAGAATAGCAGAAAGGTTTTTCTGAACACTTCATGAGAGCCTGTATTCTTTGCTTCATTGAAGGGTTGAGTATGGGTGTATGTGTGTTATGATGTCCCATGGATTTAAAAACAAGTGCCTTTAAAAGCCTGTACTGTTTTAACATGTTCTTTTGTAGAAAAATTAGTTTGGTGCAAAGAGAAACTAGTGTAATCTGTTTTTATAACTCCTTGAACCATCACTCTGATCCATCATCACTCTGGGAAACAAGGGTTGTAAGCTGGTTGCTTATACTCTTTCCTGAAATAATGGCTGAAGATGTCCTGGAAGTGGATGTGGAGATGACATCTAGGAATACAGCTTGTTCTTGGAATACAGGGAGTGGGTAAAAGATACACAAAGGTCTGAACCAAGCCCTACATTGAGAATTGGATGGCTGGGACAAATACCCCAAATCTGAGGGGGGGGGGGAGGCCAAACTGAAAAGGATCAGTCAATGCACAAGAACCAAAGAGTACCACCCACAACCTGGGCCTAAAGGGGTGTAAACATAGTTTGGACTGTAGTCGAGAGGATTCTCCATTTTTCCTGTGTTATCCAAACGTCCAACTTCTCAATTTTTTTTTCTATTTGCTGTTCCATGATATCCCACCTCAAAGGGTGAAAAATTGGACTGGCTTTAAAATATTTGCTGGTATCTTGATAATATTTCAACACTTCTACTTTAGTATGACTTGTATGTTATACAGGTAGTCCTCAATTTAAGAATGAGTTCCATTCTCAAGATCTGTCCTTAAGTCGAATTTGTATGTAAGCAGGAATAGTATTATTGTATAACACTGTATAAGTAGTATTGTGTATTTAATTCAAATCATTGTGTATTTAACTTGAATTTTGCTACAATAGACTCCATTATTAACTATGAGTCATCCTTAAACCCGGAGTTCTTAACCTGCAGATTACCTGTATTCTTAATCTTTACACTGCTTGTGAAGTGATATTATCACTTATGTAATTTTGCTTGCTTAAGTAGAAAATGTATAAATGTATGTAAAAGTATAATAAAATGTTGAAAGAGCTTTGGACATGCCTGTTGCCTAATTTCACCATTCTGCCACAAGGAAAGGACATAGAAAGGATGAGAAAGAACACTCCATTGTTTATATGAATATGCATGATTGGGTATTTGCAAGAGTGATGCTAGAAGCATATAATGTCCTTTATTTACTTATTTACTTACACAGTCTTCTACACTGCCCCATTCCATCAACTCTGAGCAGCCTACAAAACCTCAATATGGTAATCATGGTTAAAAGCACAAACATAAAATATAACATAATAATATCAGTTACTCACCCCCACTAATCCATAAAGCCCTTCTTTGGGAGAATAATCAATCTGCCACTCCCCCTCCATAGATCCTCTAAAGAGCAGGTCTTCATGGCTTTCTGGAATACTAGCAAGGATAAGACATATAATAGTGTATTGGATGTAAAAAGCAAGGAAAACAAGAAGACCAATTGGTGTGTCCCTTAATCCCAGTCTTTTTCACATCTGGCAGGCACTTGGGACAAAAGTCCCTGTCTCTGTCTTGCAGGGTTGCCTTGACCTGGAAGTGTGGACCAGCCTCATACCAAAAGCCTCTCTGGTGGCAAATTACAGTTTACAAGAACAACAAGGTCAGCCTTGAGATACACCATTCAGCACTGTAGAATTCAGAGAATACATGAAGGAAAGTAGCAGCAAGCCTTTTCCAAACTGAACATTATTTCTGTCACCATGCTTTCTGTCCCCATACCACCTCCATTTCTTTAGCAGCCAATTTAATTGCTCCTCTTCTTCCCTCTTTCATTTAACTTTTAAAGTAATCTGGATGTGTTACAAGGCAAAACTACACCTTTTCTTTATTTGACCTGTAAGGGAAGAAAGGAGCAGGACACAACAAGACAGATTTTCTGGGTTTTTTTAAAGACTTGAGTCATGCTGAATTTTGGGACCTTTGAACCTATGTCCAAAAGCCTAGCTCCTTCATAAATGCATTAAGTCTAGAGTCTAAAATTAGACAACTGTACCATTGCTTTTCTGTCATCATAAAACTGGCAAACCTGCTTACAGGTAATTTTCGAGTTATGACTGCAATTGGGACCAGGATTGCCATTGCTAAGTGATGCAATTGTGAAGCATGACATCACGTGACTGCATCATTTAGTGATGGCAATCCAGGCAGTCCTAGCTGTCGTTG